CCATTATATTAGGTGGTAACCCTGGGGGTGGACCAGGAGGGACCATGCCAGGCATCCCTGGAGGAGGGCCTGGGGGTCTGCCAGGCGGTGGGCCAGGAGGAAACATTCTTGGGGGTGGGGCTCTGATCTGAAAGTTTGGCTGAATGGGTAGACTTCCAGGCTGCTGACTTCCAGGTAGGGGAAGCTGTCCAGGAGGTGGGCCAGGTGGTGGCCCTGGAGGTTGGGGTTGACCTGTCTGTGTCATAGTTTTTCTGGATTGATCTCCTTCATTGCCTGCTTCCTGCTGTGTAAGGGCATAAAATTAAGTCAGAAGTTTGTGTCTCTTCAAGGTGCAAGATCACAGATAGTTCAACAGGAAACCTCTCACTACAGTGATCCTTGAAGACAGAAAATTCCCTTAATTCCCTTTTAGCTGCACAGTTTTTGCCTTTTTGTGTTTGTGTTTAACATGATGGTTCCCAAACAAGAACCAACAGTTGCAATGCTAAAAAGTATAAATCAAATCAAGAATGGAAACAACACATGGGAGACAAAATGATCTGAAAAAGATGAAAGCCTACAAGCAGTCAGAAACAGAACATTTCATAAGGAGTGTTCCTGGTAATGGCAGAGTACTTAAATTAAAACTACTTACTGGTTTATCAGGGAGGGGTTGGCCTGCCATTTTAAGAAGAAAGTCTTGTATTGAAGTGGTACCAGCACTTTTTGAGGACTGGCTCTCACCCCCACTATTTTCAACTTCATCTGCAAACCTCACAGTTCTTTGGCGCTCTCCCATTTCTGCAAACAGCAAAACCATAAAACTCCACTTTTGCTTAAAATATATTTAACGATTTTTAGCAGAGCCACTGTAGAACTTATAACTCCAACAAAATATGGTGAACCTAGCGGGCTGCGAAAAAAAACATTTTCAAAGGAAAACCTTGCATGATGGCTGCACCTGTGCATATTTAAATCTTTCCAAACATTTTATGGTCTCTTTTTTCAAACTGTTAATTTTGATTAAACGAAAACCAGTAAAAATCAATTGCAGTAGTTGGAGCTCTGAGTTTAGCCTTTACTTAATCAAAATATTGTTTAAAACCTTTATCTCCTTCACTGTCATCCATGCCATCATCTCTGCTGTCTCCAAGTGGTTGGCCATCTCCAGCATCTCCCTCCAATCTTCCAAGTGGAACTGCAGGATCATACTCCTCTTCCTCACCTCCTGATTCACTGGTGCTCCCTTCACTGTCATCATCATCATCATACTGACCACTTTCCATGTCCTCAGGTGCTATTCCAGGGGGGAGGGGTGGGGGAGCACTCATTGGTGGTATACCTGGTGGGGGTCCTGGTGGGGGACCAGGTGGGATCATTCCTGAGGGGCGTTTTGGTGGAGGCCCAGGAGGAGGACCTGGGGGGATCAAACCTGGAGGAAGGGGCCTAAAGTATGTAAGAGAACAAGGATGTTTTATTGGCAGAGAATCTAAAAAACTCACAAAAATCTTTTAGCATGTGATTCACAGCTGCAAAGATTTGTTTGCCAGTAATTTTACTGCGGGTACTGGGTAATTGTAACTTCTGGAGAGTTAGCAAAGGATTAGCTTACACTTGTTATGAGTATTAAATAGAGTTTGCAAAGATCTCTTTCTCTGAGTTTTAGTTATAAAACCCTGTTTGACCTCTGTACATTACTAGTATCTGAAAAGTATGATAACTACTACAAGAAAACTTCTTCTTGACAGATCATTTATTCAATTTTCAATAGATACATGTACACCACATAAAATTCCACAATGGTCAGCTACTCACAGTTGTCCAGGTAATGGTCCAGGAAGAGGGATATCACTTGGCATTAACATTCCTAACAGTTTTGAAAAAGTTGAGTTATTAGTGCTACAGAGATGACTTAGAAAATAAATCAGTGTGCCCCTACAAATATATTGCACGGTATCATTAATCAGATGAACAGTACCTCTCCCACCTATCAAGGAACAATAAAGACAGAGTAATATGGATACACACTACACAAGCATGGAAATAACAGGAGTGACAAAAAAATTTATCTTTTATTTTAACCACAAACACATTTCAAAAACTCAGAACCCTCCTTTACAGAGAGTATAATGAGGGCTAAAAAGAGAAGATTTTTGTGCCATACCTGCATGGGGAAGAGGGATGTTTGGTGGCAGAGGGATGTCAGGAGGCATTCTTGCTTCCTGGAAGATAACAGAGTACATGTGCATGTGTCACATCAAGGGAAATGTGAAGAAAAATCTTGGAGCTTTTCAATACACTTTTGTCTCAAGTACACGAACCTGAGTTTAAGACATGCCATGCAATTATGGTGTCTTTCTCTACATGTTTGTTCTACAAAAAATCCTCTGTGGTTTTTACCTCAAATTTATATCCTTCTTCATCCTTTACCCTAATTTTTGTTATCACCCTCCTCTAGTGTTTTTGTCATGGGTGAATTCAGAAAATTAAGGAAGACCTGATGAAAATGTAGTCTTCTCCCAACCACAGGACAAAAATACACACTTGAGAGAAAGTTGGTTGACAAGCACTCTTCCAAGTTGGGGTTTAACTGACCTCCTTTTGTTCCTCTTAAATCTGCCAATTTTCTTTCAGTTTAAATTCTCTATTTAATTGTACATTGTACCCACACCTACCTCTGCTAGAGCTTTTTGTCGTATTTCTGAAAAAGATAATAAATTATGTTTTTTTCTGGCAAACACATGTATGTGATGTTCTTAATAAAGATCTTAAGGCAGAGATAAACCATCACAGGGAATCAGTTAGGAGCCATTTTGCTAAAATGATGGATATGTTTGCAGTTCAAGTGTTGTGTCTATCTTAAAATTACCACTGGTTTTCTTTAAACGTGCTTAAGCATTTCAAGATTTGTTTTCTTACTTTCTTGTGGGAAATGCTGAATTGAGGTCTGAAGCAAGATCACAGGTGAGATTTGTGTTTGGTAGGAAGATGAAAATTGTAAAGTTTGTCAAACAAGGGGGCTGAATCAGTATGTGCAAAAATAGCAGTTTGCTGTTTGTCAAAAAGATTAGGAGCATGGGGACTGTGATACAAAATAGGCAGCACAATGTCATACTTCCAAACTGAAAATTTGAGCCACAAGCATTCAGAATAGCTGGCACATTTATCAGTCAGAGTAGATGGTGAAGTGCCCCCAGTTGCCAGCTCATTATGAAAATCCTGCATTTGTGCTTATTTTATTTTTTTTCTCTGAAAAAGAATTTTAAAAACCAAAGGCTATCACAGAGATACTGATAAGCCTGTTTGCAGCTAAAACAAGATCAAGAAACTTGACAGCCTGAACTAACATACAAGTATTGGTATAAACATGTCAAGGTAGCAGCAAAAATTGATAAAATGTGACCTACTCTGGCAGACAAAGAAGCCCTCTTAAAGTTTCCTGGTATCAAGTATAAATTACAGTCTATAAATCAGGATGAAAAAGTTATCCACATTACCATGAGCAGACATTTGAGCCTGTAAACGTTTTCTCTCACTATCAGCAATCAATCTGCAAGGCAAGTTTGAGTTTCATAAATTCCACAAGATCTTAGATGCAGTTTCATGAGATTTTCTTTCCCACATCATAGAGGGCAGCATATAATTGGAAAAAATCTCAGGACATCTTAAAGAGTCATTAGAGGTGGCTGAACAACTTCTGATGCATTAAGTGGCCTAACCTGGCCTAAATGACCTGACCTGAGTAACACTAACATTTTTGCTTCCCTAGTTGACTGGTGGGAACGTTCAATGATTGTATCACTGAATCACTGAATTGAAGCAAAAGTGGCCCACTCTCATTAAAGAAAGTGAGTTCAAGTTGTCTGTCAACTGCCTGGTGCACATTTTTCATCATTCATCCCTTACAGTAATATTATAACTGAAGAGACTTAGGGCAACAAGGAACCTCTTCTTTTCCCACAGATAAAACAACAATTGCCAAAGTCACAGATTGACTGACCATTTTTTGTTTGTTTTTACTTACTGCCTCATTTGTCCAGAGTGAGATGGATCATCTTTCTCCTACAAAAAGTTTCATCAATAACAAATAAGATGTTTCAGGAAACAGATACAATAACATCATAAGAATGTAAAAAATTATGGTCAACAACAATCAGAGAAACAAATTTCAGAGAGACTCACATATAGTTTCAACATTCTGTCGAGTGTTTCCTTCAGCTTTCTTTTCTTCTCTTTAAGTGCCTTGTCATTGGGAAGTGGGACTGGCCCAGCATCAATTTCTAATGATATAGAAAATGCTAAAAATTAATACTGACTTTCTATGTGAAGAAAGAAAGATAAAGATGAAGATGAGCAAATGAACTGAAACACAAATACTGACGTCTAATTTCACAGTGACTATATACATTTTATTTAGGTCATAAAAATAATTTAAAGAAATTATTATACAAAAACTGTTAAAAAAGAAGAATGCTCACAAGGTTTTTTGTACTGGTGTATAGGTATTGTGTTAGTTTTAATGAAAACAAAAAGGTTTCATGTCCAAGAATCAGGACACCAAATATAAGGAAGCTAAAATTTTCAACAACCTTCACATCCCTATTCAAGTACCACAAACCCTAGAAAACAATGTGGTTTTTAACTTGATCAAAAACAAAACCCTCTCTGGTCCAAGAGCTGTTTTAGAATTGAAATGTGTGGTCCTGACCATGTGAACTCTTTCAGGGGCTTTTTGAAAACATTTTCACCGATTGGTAATTACCTGTCTAATAAAGTATTAGACACTGGAACTATTGACATACAGTGTACACTTTTAACCCTTTAATCCCCAAAAAAGATTACCATGTAACTTCTCCCTAAAATATCTGTACACTATTCAGCAAACAGGTGATGAGAATACTCAAACCTATCAGACAGAAGTTGTTACATTGATGTAACACCAAATTCTCATAACATATTTACAAGGAAATGTGTAGCAACTAGAGTGGAGAATTAACAATTAGATCTTGGGAGTTAAAGGGTTAAAAGTGATGTTTGATAATTTGTAAACTCATAGGGCTTTTCAAGACCATTATCTCTTGATGTGCGCTGTAAAATTCTATCAATTTATTACTTTAAATTAGTTCTGCAAAGAACCAGGTGCAAAAGTATTACATTACCCATGGTTTCAATTTTCTCAATTTCCTCTAATATCCTTTGAGGATCCTTGGATTTTAACACAGCTTCCCGTACCATCTTCCTCTGCTTCTTATTCTAGTGTATGAAAATAAACAAATACATGAATTACTTCCTGTTTTAAGTTTTAGAATTTGGAGGCTTAGTATCCAGTGTTTAATGGCTGCTATAGTACTAAAAGAAATTTAAAATCTATTTGAACTTCAGGGTGCTGCAGAGAGGACATAAAAACATAAGTACCAAGCTTGAACAAAGCAAAAGTACTTAAGCATGGATTTTCAAAATTTTGTTGAGAACATTTAAAACACTTAGCATATCTGGTAAAATTTCCGCACAGCCCTATACTAGTGTAATTCAAATCTGTTTTCCCAATGGAAATGTGTTGTTTTTGGCATTGTTTTCTCTAGTCAAGAACTGAATGCATAATGAAGTATGGGGCTGTGCAGAAATTTTATTGCATATCTTTGGCATAGAAGTGAAACATGCACCTGTGTATATGCTGCATAGGTCTTTAACAATCCACACATGTGTATTGTTAATTTATGAAATACAGGTAGAAGCATACATGTAGATCAGCTTACAAAAAGTATTAATTTTTTTATCCATCTATATTGAAATAATTATGGAAACAAAAGTCAAACAATCAAGATTTTCTAAGAAGAAAATGGTTATTCGAAAAAAGAAAAAAAACAGCTCATTTTTCACATTTGTTCAAACACCTACAACTGTTTTGAGAGGAAGATACAACAAACTCAGGTAAGTTTAATCCTTATGGAATTTAATGACTTGAAAATGAGTAGTCTAATTCGTAACTTTCATAGCTGCAGCAGGCTAAACCTCTCGAAATCTGTCATCTAATAAATATTCAAATATTCTCAATCACAAGCATCACAGGCTATGATATCCATCACGCATACCTTCTTCAACTCTCTTTTTCTTGCTTCTTTCCCTTTAAAAAATAACAAAATCCATTAGTACAGTGAAAGCTGGAAAACTCAAGGTGACAGAAACTGAGTGGAGATGGAAGAATATTTTCAGCCATCTTACTTGCTTGATCAGTGGGGTTCATAAACTTCCCACTCTTTGTCGTTGAAATAGACCGCCTCCCCATCTTGCACTAGTGAAAATACAACAAGTAATGTGTTAAATGAAAGGATAGTCAAGTGCTGTTAGTGCAGTCAAATAACATGGCGTCCCCTTAAGCTTTGCGACCGCGTCTGAGTGAAAGAGCAGCCATGGCCTTCATGATTATTTACTTTTTAAGTAGGGTAGGGTAGGAGGTAGTTTCCGAAAAAATAGTTTTGGAGTTTAGAAAATTTTGCCCTTTCTTGTGGGTTTTTTGCATTATAGAAGTTAAAGGATGAGAAAAAATTCAATTTAATCCAAACTTTGAATTAAAATACCCAGGATTCACGATCTACTCAATTCTAATACCTTGACGTTACCCTACCCTGGTAGGAAAATGCTATGTCGCTTCTTATTGTCTGGGTATTTGCGTGCTTTTGTGTAGTGTCTTTGACTTTTAATTCTTCCAATTTCCTTAGGGACTTATCAAGTGTCTCTCTAATTGATCCTTCCTGTTTATAAATGATTTAAGCTTAGTCAGACACTTGTCTTTTTGGCGGGCAAAACGACGAAGCTGCTCACTTGTCATAGGTCTGCAAAGTTTAAATAACAATCTGGCCGACATGAAAGCAATGGAAAGCTTTCAAAACGCCTTTGGGAAAATTTAGGCTCCAATAGTAACTTTTATTGTCTGTGGAGAAGATTGAACGATGTCGTACAATGCGATGTAATCTCGAGCCTGCACAATGAATTATTTAGAGGGAAGAGTCACAAGGAGCTTGGAGCGGCAGAGAAGCAGAACTACGTTCTCCCAAGAATCAACTGCAGTTGTGAAGAGTGGATATTTGTGGAAGATTTCTCATCACCCAGGGAGAACTTCATCTCGAAGCAGATACTTTGTCCTAACCAAGAGCTCCCTGGATCATTTCAGAAACCATAACAGGGTAAAAGAACAACACATGATATAATGTATTCTATAAGCTAAACTTCACAAATGTTCACGTGCATTTTCATGGAATTTTCGGAAAGATTTACGCATAAAGCCATTCTGTTCAAGAACAAAGTTTTAGTCGCAAAAACATTCTGCTTTTTTTTTCATTCTTGTTTTCTTTTATTAAGAAATTGTATGAGTAATGATGTATGCCGCTCTATGGAAATCTTGCAAAATTTCCACTTGCGTTGCACAATAACTTGAGTAAAACGCAAACAACACGAAGCTCCCCAGATATAATCAACTCAAATAAGTGCTTGATCTTGTTCGGAAATGATCTTGATAAAGATCAGATCATTTTATAGTTAAAAACAATAATTATAATAGGGAGAAAACGAAATTCAGGGAGTTGGGAGAGATAGATTAAAGCCAATTCTGCAAAATTATAATAACTTTGGAAGAGGGTGAATTTGACATACTAACATAAGTATGCATATTCTCCATACTGTTCTTAATACATTTCCCAAGTTGCTGAAAAAGATAATTTGTGTGACAATCAAGAACTTGTCTTGGTGATCATTTCCTTTATCCTTGTGACGGTAAAGTGTGATTTTTGGTTGATCTTGTAGGGAGAAATTAGATGCTAATCACTCTTAGGGGACAATGCTCTAAACAACTCCTGAATATTGATAATCAAATGATGATCCTTTCTTATTAGGAAAAACTCAAGGGAAGTCTTCCATTGGCTGCCATAGATGCTGTGGAGAAGCTGCGAGAAATTAACAACTCCTTAAAGATCACTGGCCCCTTTAAACATCCACTGATTTTACAAGCGTCTGGAATAAAAGAATGTCAAGAATGGATAGAGGCCATTGAGAATGGTAAAACAACACTTAAAAATAAAGCAGATTTCATTTGGCCTTGCTAGTGAAATGTTGCATTTCCCATCATGTAACCCACCCAGTTTTTTGGAAGAAAAAATGTCAGGTTCTATTTTGTTGATCAACATTTTGATTTTGACGATAATTTGCATCCTAGATTTTAGGGGAAAAAAATGAAATCAAGACTTGATGTTGTATGGATATTGTTTATATCTGATTTTCTAGTTTGCTTATTATATTGGACAAGTCTGAGTTGGAAAGACAGTAGTCCATTTTACAGTTGCGTTCTTGGTTGCCAAGCCTTTGAATGGGAGTGAGGCTAGAGTTAACCTTATTATGATACAAATGTTGCTGCTTTTCTAATGTAATCCACTTTGTTATCATGCCAACTACATACTGGTCTCTATCACAACAAGGTCACCTTCAGCCTTACTCCAAATCAAAGGCTTGGCAACTAAGTACACAACTGTGAAGTGGCCTATCAGGGAGTTGAGATGTATTTGTAACCAAGCCATCTTACCTTTTACTAACCCAGGCTTCCTTTGTCAATTTTGTCATTTTCCCTTTTGTTCATTTCTTTCCCTGATGAACCAAAGGAGCTAGAAGGCAATCATGTCATCGTAAAAATGTTATGTATTAGATTACGAATCATAGAGTTATACTTATGAAAATGACACATAACTTTTCATTTTAATATTATGGCAATTTGATATTATTTGTATTTAGGAATTCAGCAGTGGTGTTTAGATTCTGATGCAAACTCATCTTTGCATAAGGAAGATGAAATAGATAGCTTACAATGTTCTTTGAATGCTGCACCAAAGATGAAGGTACCTGGATGTCTGTCTGTACTGATTAGTGCTGAAGTGAAGTTTATTAAAGTACATTCCATATAAAAACCATTATTTCTGATAGTTGTATTGCAACCTAAATACATTGTCATCTGAATAACTGTAAAAATATGTGAATGAGTGGTTTGTCTGCAATGTTTCATAAGCCAGGAAGCCAATCGCATTAAATGAATTTATATTTCCATACCAAGTGAAGCACCTTTGACTTAGGGCTAAACAGCAATGTGTAATTCTCAGGAAAACTATATTACTTCATGCCCAGGGTCCAGTTGTTCCAAGGGCAGATAGCACATAAATCACTGTCCAGTGGATAAGTGTTCATGAAAGGTATTGCATTATCCATGGGATGGAGGTTTATCCAGTTGATAGTGTTATCCACCCTTTGAACTACTGGGCACAGGATGCTTTGTATCCAATATAAGAAACATTAACTGATAAGAAACCTTAACTGATCACACAATCCAACTCTATTTTAGCTCAAAAATGTACCTTTGGTTACCAGTTACTCCATCTGCATGCTACATTCTAGGGTTAATATCAAGCAGCTAAAAATCTGCATGCTTTTACATTCTATAAGGAGATCATATAATCTTCAAAATTTTTGTGGTGATACTGATAGAAAGTCATCAAAAAGTCATTTGAATCAATATTTATAATTGCTGATACATATTTCTTGATTTTGTTTTTGTAGATGCTCTATCCTTCTTTGTTTTGCCCTGTTGGTGATGGAGTTTTGATTTCAGGTGAATAATTTTGTTTTGTGTTTGCTGATGATAACATAGACCAGCATATAGTGACTTATATCGTTAGACCTCGTAATATCATAATGTGATTCGTTTTTAATTGTTTAGGTTATTTTTTATCTTAGAATCAGTGCTTCATATCTCAATTTAGGACATACCACACAGGTGACTAGAACTCTTTGCATGTACTGATTGCCTAGTTTGGAAGTGATTATCAGCTGAATAGACAAAGAGACAAAACCATGCATCAAGAGTTTAATTTCTGACCATTTTTGATATATCATCAGAGTAAACTCCTTGTTTGTTTATTTGTTTGTTTTTGCAGTACGTACTAACACAAGTATTCACCTCAATGTTGGTGAAAGTTGTGGATATTTATTAAACCGTGAAACATCAGTGAAAGTAAATATCCACCATTCTTCACCTCCTTTGGTGATTAATTGATAAATACTGTACATTATAAGTAAATTTATCATAAAGACAAGATATCATGTTTATTGACTTTATAGATCCATCCATTGACATCATATATGGTTACTCAACTAACATGCATTTTTTAAATTATTGTCCAGCCGCCAGTGAGCTTCATCAGGAGTTTCCAATGATAAAGTATGCACGTATTGGGAGGTCAATTCCACATGAAAGAGTATTTAAGCTTGACAAAGACAACTTGGTAAGAGAGAAGATATTTTGAGCTTAGGAGATAAAATTATATTTATTAACTGAGTATATGAGCAAAAATTGTTTTACTTGTAGGTCGTAGAATTATTTTTATCTGTCATATTCTATTTTACAGCATATCATGTGGAAGAAAAGGGGAAAAGGTCATAGCTTTTCTTTTACCAACACTTGTGAGTTTGCATCTGAATTGTATTTCTATGTATTTTCCTGTTTGATTGAGGTTAATCAACCCTCTCATACCCCTTCATTAGTATTCACATTCTCCTTACTGATCTTTCTATATTTCATATAGTACTGACAAGGAGAATTTGTTTGACCATCAGAGCTGTTTTAATTGGTGATAATTTCTGTTATTCTTATACAGGGCGTGAAATTGCGCCTAATACAGGCGCCAATGCGACTAAATTTTTCACTTTGGCGACCAAATCCTGAAAGTTAGTCACCAAATTGGCAACTAGAACGTTTCATCATAACCTTACCAAGAGATATAGTGAATTAAAAAGATTTGCAAAGATAAATCCGCAGCAAACTTCCTTGTTAAGTTTGTTTCCAAAACGTAGCACATGCATCTCGATTGATAACTAGATGCCATCTTGGATTTAGATGAGCCTGAAAGTTGTATATCATCCATCCTAGTGTCCACTTTGTAGCACGTTAAGGATCTTTTCCCTAACTTAATTTTGGAGGGTCTCTCTAGAACGCTGACAGCGTAAAGAAAGATTTTGTTTGTCTTTGAAAATGGCGACCAACTTTTTTTGAATTGGCTACCACTTTGAAGAATTTAGGAGCCAAGTGGCTATCAGAAAAAATAATTAATTTCACGCCCTGTTATAACCTTTACATTTGATTCAAGGGTGATAGTGTGAGGAGAAATTAGAAGTCAGTCACTTATAGGGTTTAAGGGATCAACAAAACTTTTTCTGTGCTTAATGCTTTATGTGGATGATGTATTTTGTTTTGTTTCATCAGTGTGTTTAGACAGGGTTATTGAGGTACGCTGTGGTCAACAAACCAAAAACTTTGTCAAGTTTCCTTACAATGAAGTTGAGGAGCAGTCTTTCTCACTCATGTTTGAGAAACAACAAGGTATTAATTTTTTTATCTGTAGAGAATATTGCAGATGAAAAAAACTCATTTTAAAAATGGGGATGAACTTAGATTAGGAGAGAACTTCAAAGTACATACTAGACCTTGATTCAGCCATATAACGTGACTTAACATTGATACAAAGACTCCTTGACGCTGTTTAGATCAGAAGTATACTCTGAAGGTCACACTTGATTAAAATGAAAATTAAGGTACACAACAGAAAACCACAGCTATTAATGGACACTGGTGCTGTGGTGGAAGATAATTGTGGGCTAAGATAATCAGTAACTATATATACATGATTTTGCCCTACAGTTGTTTGTATTGGCATTTTCACAAATTTATTCTTCGTCAGTTCAGAAGCATGTTTTCTTTTTATAGGGGAATGGAGTCAGTTATGTTCCTTGGATCTTATTTGTGACTCAGAAAAAGCTTATGAGAAGTGGACAAGTGCAGTGAGTACTTTATTATTAAATGTGTGATCCTTAACCCTCTCACTACCAGGAGTGACCAAGAAACAATTTCACCCTTCAACATCAATACACTATTGAGCAGACAGGTAGTGAGAAAAAGGAAATGTATCACCTACTGTACAGTGGGGAATCGTATTTGAATCAATGCCTAGTTCTCAGAACTAACATTATATGAAATGTATAACAAACAGATGGGAGAATTTGTCAAAGGAGCTTAGTTGGGTTGCTGTCAGCACATCCACTTTGTGATCTTGTAGTTTTTGCTTTCAAATTGTTGCAGATTTTGATTGCTGTTTGTTGTTTTTGAAAAAATTATCTGGTTACCCTCAACCTCCTATAAGAAACTACCTTTCTCTTATAAAACTTGCAGCTTCTTGTGAGAGTTTCTACTGTAGCTATGACATGTTATCTGTATTGTTATCTTTTTTCGATAGTTCAAACAATTTTTTATTCAGAGAGGGAGAATGTTCCTGATAATAATTTGTGCTATTCTCTTTCTACCATTTAATATTTCTTTTTAAATACCTCAAGTTTAGCTTTGATGCAGAGTTGTGGCCTTTTATAATGCTGAATTTAAACTTCTTTCAGATGAGAGAGGTTATTTACAGCAGAGATCAAAGAGTAAACAGGCACAAATTTGATGGTGTAGATCCAATTGTCCTGTATCCTTTTATAATAGGCTCCGACCTATCTTTTAGGCTCAATTCTTGGCAGTTTGTTTAGTTTCCAGTGTAATACTCTGTACCTACATTTGTATTGAGTTGGAAGGAAGAAGCAAAAATTTTTGGCTTGAGGTCGTATGTCATGATTGAAAGCCAAATATTTTTTGGTCTATCTACCCCACCCTAACTTAGGTAATAAGCATTTTATTATATTATTGCTGCTTTTTCCCTTTCCTTTTTTTGGTTTTTTTCTTTTTTCTTATAGGTCAGTTCATTGGGCTTTGTGGTCCTCATTTTGAGATATTTTATTTTATTGTTTTTCATTTAAAGTGATTATATAAAAGACGCTGTGAAATTAGTGAATTTTGTTTTCCTTCCATGTCTTGAAATGATTCTCCAAAAATATCAACTTCTTATTTTTAGCAATGAATTTTAAAAATACTTGCACACAAATTTTACATAGGATAGCTATGTCTTAGGCCCTTTCCATTTTTTGGTTAGCTGGTATTTGTCTTTCTATTGTAAGTTTTTTCTTTGATTCAATATACAAAGCTGGTTAAAAAGGCACTGGTCAGTAATGTCATCACGACACAGCAAGGGAATTTCCGTGGACCAAGCTTTGTCTTTTGCTCAACAATGCAGTGGAGCTAAACGGAAACTGATGAGAAATTACGTTAAGGTAGGAAAACAAGTTCTGCAAGACTCCAGTTTCTGAAACATCTGGATATCCTTTGATTTTTTGTTTTTGTCTTGTTGGGTTTTTAGGATGTACTTGAGGCTCAGTGTGGAATGGCTCAGCATAATGAGAATCTGCTGTGGAACTCCTTTGTAATGCTGTTCAACTCTCTAAATAAACAACCAAAGGTTAGTATTGTTACAAGGCTAGTTACTATATGTTCAGAGGTGTTTCTTTAAAGTTTATGTATTCATTGCTAAAACATTATGAGAGCAGTCATTACTATTATTCAAGGCCAAGGAGTGATGATTAAGCTCATCTTAAAGGTTTTTGCCAGATGATTTCATTTTTTTTTTTTGTATGCTCTCTCTCTCAAAACTCATCTACAGTTTTATAACACTGACTGTTAAATAGAACAGTCCAAGACTTACTGTGGTCTTAAGATCCTTGTTTGATTACTTATAGGCTCTCATGACCACTCTTGGTGAAAAATTATACATCTTCAATATTATCTATCTCTAGGGTAGAAATAGTACAAATTGCTTTAATTCACTACATTTTGGAAAATCATAACATGTGCATTATGGAAGAGATATTGATTGCAATTAAAGTTATGGACAATTTAATATCATTATGTCAATGTCAATCTGTAATAACTTTTTTAACCTTTTTTTTTTACCAGTTGTACGAGATGTTTTGTAAGTATGCAAAGGAATACCCTGACCTTGGTATGACACCAGCTGAGTTTGCAGAATTTCTTAACAGAGAGCAAGAGGTAAGTAATGGAGAATTATTACACTTGACATCTGTGTTGACACTTGTGTTAAGTTTTTGGTAAATACACAAATTATACGTTATCAAGAATGTTGATAATATTATTTGATATTTTATACATGTTGTTGATGGTGAAGTTGTTAGTAACAGTGACAGTCGTGATGTAGGAGATCCATTAAATATGATTTTTTTTTATAAACAGGAAACACTCAGTCTAGCTGCTTGTGCGAGGCTGATGTCAGCTCATGACAAATTTCACATGATATTCAAGCAGAGATGTGCAGGAGACAATCCAGATTTCTTCAGATTGAGTAAATCTCTTCTGTCATATCATGGATTTTTAAGGTAAATAAAGTTCTATCAAGAAATCACTGTTCAGGTACTTGTACAAACTATTATTTAACTATTATTGGAGGACAGTATAATCATTAAGATCTATAACCTTCTACTTAAAAAAAAAGTATCTGTGAACTTGGCCATACTAGTACACTTTTTGCTGAATATGTTTATTGTAATGGGATACTTCTCTGTGCTTAAATAAACTTGGATGATAGTTTTAATTTCCCAAGGGTTTAACCACTTTTTAAAGTTATGCAAAATGTAAACTGTCACTAATGACACAAATTGACAAACGACTGAGGAGGCAAGATTAGGTTTCAATTTTGTCTGCGTAATTTGAGCTAAATCTTTGAGCTAAGGGTGATATATCTTTGAGGCTCACATTTATAGATAAAATTAAATGGGCTTTACAACTCTGGAAAGAAGAGAATTTTAAATATAACTGCAGCCTTATCATGTGTTAACAAAATTAAACTAGTAGCAACTATTAAGAGAGTTGTGTTATTTTATTTCAGTTATCTCAGAAGTGAAGACAACTCTGCTGTCAATCCAGAAGAGAAAACTGTCCACCAAGTGAGGGGTGATTTGATTTATTCAATAGGAATTGAATCAGGCAGAATTGTCAGAATACATTTTGACATGAATGTGTGTTTGAATTTCAGTTGTGCGTGAATCACCCTCGAAAATGTTGTTTGGTTAAACTTAAGCATGGGGCCCCCTCTGTGCTAAGAATTATGTTCTTGTCTGTGGGGGAGATTTAAATATATATGTAAAGTTAGCTATTTATTGACCTTCCTCTCTTTTCAATATTGCTGAGGAAGGTTCGCACAAAGAAAAACAATGTAGCATCAAAAATTAAGTAGAAGGGGCCTCGCAAAATTCAAACTTAAAGTTAATATTTGAACTTGAACTGTTGTTTTGTGATGAATAGAATGATCTTGGTTGTTACACAGTCATCGGGATTTGTTTCCCTTTTTTTCTTTCTTTCTTTTTTTTAATACAGGACATGGATCAGCCTCTGTCTGATTATTTTATCAACTCATCTCACAACACCTATCTCACTGGACGACAACTGAAAGGCAAATCCAGTCTTGAGGCTTATGTAAGAGCTCTATTACAGGGCTGTCGCTGTCTTGAACTTGACTGTTGGGATGGCCCAGGTAGGTGAAATGTAATTTACTTGTTGATGTCATGTGAGGGCTAAATAAAAAATATCTGAAGGCAACAGTATATATTTGTATAGATGCTAAACGCAACAAGACAATCATGTGATATCTATTTCAATATGCAGATAGGTATTTCCTATCTGATTTCTGTGAGATGTTAGTCATCCCAATTCAAATCAAATTTCAAACTCAGCAATGAGATAATTAATATTTAAACTGTCAGCGGTTGCAACTTGTGGTTTCAAATACTCAATGTTCCACAATTTAGCTGCACCATAACCTATTAGCAGTACTTGTGAATGGGCAAGGAATGATGATTTGCTTGTATGCCCCTACATCATACAAGGTTACAAGACAGTATTATTTTGGAATAAAAATTCAAAATTGAGGATTATACAATATTATGAAATGGACATGTTTTTAGCCTAAGGTTACATGTCACTGTTTTCTTCACTATCTAATACATACTTAATTTTTTAAAATCAATATTACTCTGCTGTAAAATGAGAAAAGAAACTGTCTTTGGATTTCAGACGAGCCTGTGATAACACATGGACTTACACTCACATCTAAAGTCAGGTTCAGAGATGTGGTGCAAGTTATTAAGGTAGGAATGATGCCTTGTTTTTTATTTCAGTAGAGGGATTTGATAAATGCATGATATAACTTAACCACTTAATTCTAATACACACTGGTTACTGTTGGAGAAATAAGTTTAGGATCCTTTGCTGAGGAAGGGACAAAGATTGCACTGAAGAGAGTGTGGTTTAAAGAAAAATTTAACTATGTTTTGAAAGTCTGTTGTCAGAAAAAGGCCTGATAAAGCTTTGCCTCATTCTGGTTTGAAGATATCTTGCTTCTGTTCGATGCATTGATGGAATACTGTTAGTGGGTGAACTAGATCAACTTGCACTGTGTTTTCCACAGGGCATATATTTAAAATTGTGCAATTCTTGTTGAGAATATGTTCATTGAATATTTGTGTCATATACTTGGTGTGTAATTATAATGCTGTAAAGTGATTGTGTTTGAAAATCATACTTTTTGAAACTTTACTAAAAACATACAACACAAAACAAACCATTTTTAATGTTTAACTGAGCTTGTTTTATAATAGTGGTGTAAAATGCGTCTTTGCACAATGCCAGCAGAGTAAGCAACAAGAAGTACATGCTCTGATTATCAGCAAAATGGAACTAATGCATATTATTTTATAAATGTTAGGGAAAACATGCATACTGCAAACCTTACTTTAACTCTTAAACCCGTAAGAGTGACTAGCAACTAATTTCACCTTACAATATCATCCCTGAATTTAACATCCAGGTCATGAGAGGAAAAGAAATGATCTTCAACATAACAAATTCTTGCTTGAAAAATGAACTCTCCCTAAAAGTAACTGTTACATTGAAAATGTTTTAAGGACAATACAGAGAATATGCATTATTATGTTATGGTGTGAACTTTAACTTCATTGTATTGTGTCTTTTTACAGGAGTATGCCTTTGAGACAACAGATTTTCCTTTGATTTTGTCCCTAGAGAATCACTGCTGTGAGCAACAACAAGTAGGTTCAAGGAATGATATTTCAATGCTATGATCAATGCTCCTCTAGAATTTAAAAAATACATTTGGTCTCATTTTTTTTATCAATCTGTAGGCGATCATGGCTGACATTTTTGTCTCTGAGCTTGGTGATATGCTGGCAACAAATAACCTCTGTGATGAGATGAGTATCAATACTCTTCCTTCACCAAATCAGCTCAAGAGAAAAATTCTGTTGAAAGGCAAGATTAAAGTCAAGAAAAAGGTGAAATCATGATTCAAACAAGCACTTTATTTGATGTAGTCAAGGTGTTCTTTGTTCCTGTGTGAGTTATGAATGGGCTATGATATTAAATATTCCTTTCATTTTTGTTTTTCATCCTTCAGCACAAGATATCAACTGCCATTACTCCTATAATCTCGGTAAGTATTTGGACTCCAAGGTTATGTAAAGGTAGTGTAGTTACAGGTAGTGCGAAAAGGTGTTAACTGTAGTCTTCACACCACATGTTTAATACTGGCTGAATGTCAAATTCTCTGAGATGGCACTGGAATGACTGCAGTGGGTTTGACTTACTTTATGCAAGTAAGACCTTCATAAGATTCCTGATACTGATTTACATAGTACTACGTAGTATTACTTAGTCATGGCTACTTGGTGACTACAGCATTACGTTCCACACAGACTCTCCTATGTTCAGGATTGACTGTATATATTGTTTAGTGTGCACTTCATATAAATTCAAATAGGACTAGGTTTACACTTTATTCATATATATTTTGTTGAGATTTTATTGATAAGGACACTTTTTTATGTCAGTTGCACAGAAAGTGAATATCTCTAGTAATCAATCATGGCCATTTCTCTGGAGAAAGTACTATTTGTATTCTGTTCTTTGAGTTAGATGTTAATGGTTGACTTTATCTCAAATAGGGTCTTACTCCAAGGGTAAAGAAGACCAGCAGAGTGCTAGTTTCAAGTCAGGTACCAAACATCACTAGTTTTATTTTTATTTGATAATTACAGTGTATCTGTATAATAGATTGCCCCTGGCAAACCCTGTAACCTCTTTATTTACTCAGAATAGGGTTTTGTTATGCTGGCTTGTCAGGTCTTTCATGCACTAACTAGAGTTATGATAAAATGCAAATTTATTTTTTTCAAGAAAAGTTAACTTTTTATTTTAATAACCCTTATAGTACAGGACACTTTTGAACCTAGGCCAATATTTCACTGCTAAAGAATGTTTTCAGTTCATTGCTCTGAATTCTGTCAACAGTCTGAAGCAATGTTGGCAAGAACACCTTCATCACAGTCACTCGGTACTAGATTGAGATCTTCAACAACAACCACATTGACAGATGACAAGGTAATGGGGTATACTGATTTTTGGTTTCAGAATGAACATAGCATGGGACAAATTCAATCACAGTCAGGAGCGGAACCAATTAAGTTTAAAAATCATCTCGATTTAGATATTCTTGGCAATACATAGCTGGCTTGATAGCTCAGCTGGATGGCAATTAGTTTAAATCCCATAAAAGCCTGACAAATTTTTAACTGGCTTTCCTTTCACAACTATTTGCATTCTGCATACAACATGTCCACTGGGTTGACTTGTCAACTTTCCAGCTGAGGATGTACTGTGGTCTTATTTTAAGAAAAGCTTTCTTCTCCCAGCTTTGAGTAAATAGGACCACCAGTTGGTCAAGTGGAATTACAACAGAATCTGGCACCGAAACATGACATAATTGAGCCAGAGGGCATCTGATGGCATGTAAAAGAATTAAAGAACTTATGTTAAATCAAAGTTAAATTGGTTCCATGACCAGCATTTTACATTTACCATGTTCCATATTTCATTTCAGAGCTCAACAAGTGAAGAGCAGTATCACATAGTAAGTCCTCTAAAAATTCATATTCCATTATGATAACTCGGGACAGGAACACACAGAGATCATCATGATATCTCAGTGTATTGCAAGCAAACTTGACAGTTTCCAGAAAAAATGTTGTGCTCTATGTTGCTGTGGGACAAGGGGGGGCATTCAATTTACTTGTGTTTGTGAGACCATACTGATCTCTTATTTCACCATCACTATGGTTTTCTAGGTCCCATTAGAAGATGCCATGGGAAAACTGATTGTGTATATGCGTGCAGTTCCTTACAAGAGGAGTGAAGTCTCTGGTGACTGCTGTGAGATGTACTCATTTAATGATGGAGCAGCACAAGATGCCATTACAGGGCATCCAAGAGGTGTGATCTGAATTTTAATTCTCCCATCTTATTGTCATACATCTCCTTGTAAATTAGTCAAGAGAATTTGGTGTTACACCAGGAAAACATCACCCAGCTGATATCTTAAAGTTTGTTTTCTTTCTTGTTGTTAGTTTGTTACTGGTAATTAATGGGTCAATGTGGTCATGAGAAGTTATATGTTGATCCTTTTTGGAATTTTTTCGTATTCTTTAAAATACATAAGATATGTCTCTTCTGTAACTTTTCCTGTCTTACTTAGCCCTCTAACTAGTCTCAAAATTAACAGGGGACATAGCTTTTTTTCCTAGAAATTCTGAATGGAGAAATTGGATTTTTTATGATGATGGTGGTTTTGAAAGCTGAAATTCTTTGAGGAAAGATGGAGGGTCACATAAAAAAATAGAGACTGAAATAAATTCTGAGTGCTTTTCATAGAAGTGGAACCTTAGAACTTATTGCATCCCATAAATTCAAGATCTCTTATAAAATAATATGACATATATATATATTGCATACACATTTTGTATACGCATTTGCACACTCTCACATGACTTTTCCATGTAATTTCAGACAGATGCTGAGTACTGCAATGTGTAGTTTCATGAAGATCTAATGCTTATTTTGTGTTCTTTAGATATTTTGTATTTGGCTAACAAGCACATTGTCAGGACATATCCCAAAGGTTCAAGAGTGGACTCATCAAACTATAATCCCCAGACCATGTGGAATGCTGGTATTCAAATGGTGGCAATTAATTTTCAAAAACCAGGTGTGTTATAAAGAACAAATTGCGAAAGAAACTCTACAGTCTTATTATATTTAACCACAAATATCTCAAAATTAAAATTAGCATAACCTCAACTCACATATCTCTACTAGCCTTATACCTTTTTCTGTCTCTCAGAAGCCCTGATCAGTTTTTGATCATTTTAATTGTTGTCATAAAGTTTGAGATACTATACAAGATCATTTAGTAAATATGCTGTAAAAGATCTTTTCATTTTCAAGAACACCTCTTATGAAATAGTTATTCTGATCATTATCCTATAATCTATCTCAGCCAGTAAATTTTCATTGACAGTTAATTCACAAAAGACAAAAAAGAAGGAGTTTTTAAAGGGATTTAATTTGGTTTCCATCTTTGATCTGATGATCTTCATTCTTTGTCTTGATTATTTCATGTTCCTTCAGGTGTCAGAGAGGAAATTAGTTTTTTTTTTTAAAGTATTGATTCCTATTGATCATTGGTGTTATTTTGCAGATTTTAGCATGCACCTAAACCAAGGAAAGTTCAGGAAGAATGGAGGATGTGGTTATATTTTAAAACCTGATTCTTTGAGAAACAGAGGTAAGGAATTTGTACTGGTGAACACTGTTGTCTTTATTATCTCATGGTGGCAACAATAACTGTGGAACACTTGTTCCTGTTTTATCTAGAATTAACCTTTAACACCCACATGCCCCTGCCCTTGTGAAACTGATTTCAATTGACTGTTAATTTTTTGCAGAGAAGTCAAATTATCACCCAATGATTAAGGAAAGTCCCAAGAATGGAAAATCATGTTACTTCACCATTGAGGTTTGCCATTCTGTTGATTGAATTAATTTAAAGGGAAGGGGAATAAAATTCTTCAAAAAAGTTTGCAGGCCATGGGGCCATCCCTTGCTGTGTTGGTTTGTCTTATTCTCCCTCTCACTTTCCAGCCTTTCTGGGTTTTTCTCCCCTTAAATTTCTGTGTTGGGTGCCTGGTCCTATTCCATGGAACCTCTTGGTTATAGGATTTGCCTGCCATGGGTGTGGCACCCAGTTAAGGTGCTGATTGGACTTACACAGTGGTCAAATGTCTGCACATGTGGAAACGTTGTGTTGGCCAAGGGTCTTGCTCTCAGCTTGGCAGAATCAAGTTCTCTCACAGGAGTTACAAAGAAAAAACCTTAGGGTCTACATGATGGTGTTTTAAAAGCATAAAACATTTTTGATAACAATCAAACCAAAATGGAAAATCAATTGGATACCCGTACTTAAATAAGCTTTACTTTATATTCACTTTTGTTGGTTAGGCATTTGATATTGTGCTTTCCTTAACTGTAAACATTATATCAATAAGAAATTTTGAAATTAAACTGCTTTTTTTTTAGGTGTTATCAGGGCAATATTTGCACTTGGATCAGGACTCTTATCTTCCAATTCGTGTTGATATTGAGATAGTTGGTGTCCCACAGGATTGTGCATCGCTTAGCACAGAGGTTAGCTTTGAAATTTACCTCACAAAAAATTATAAAAGAAGTGATTAGCTGATTGCATGTCAACAGTCCAAATAGTGACACTATAAGGCCAATATGATGTAGTTTTTGGTTGTCCATATATAGTGGTGGCACTGTTCTCAGGTGTTGTGCAATGTTTGGTGTTCCTGCTGTCATCAATGGGCGTAGTCCTCTTTTCTTAACTGGTGACGACGCTTTTCTTTATTTCTTCATTAGCCAACTATGGACAAGCTGAATCCCCAGTTTGAAAATGCCAAGCGTCTCTTTAAAATAATCATGCCGGAATTGGTAAGTGTTGAGAAATGAATTGATCATTGATACCAACTAAAACTGTGAAAAAAATCACTGCTGTGTCTTTAACAAACTTAAATTTTGTCTGTGCCTTTCAGTGTCTGGTTTACTTCAAAGTCCATCTGCTGAACAGAAACAAAAGCAGAATTATTTTTCAAAATGTACTTTCTTTGGACAGTCTTAGACCAGGCAAGTTGAAGTTCTGAGGGAATGATCACAATGAGGTTTCATTCCAACCATTACTGTATCACTTTTAAGGACAAGTCAAACTAATTTACCATCTTGTGCAGTTTATAGAGTTCTTTCACTCAATCTTGAACTCCATGCTATGGCGTTCGATAGGCTATCTGAAAATCTCCTGAACCAAATTACCAATTCCAACTAGTCTTGTACTTGTAATCGTCACAAACTATTCAAAGGGTCATGAAGTTCTGATCCTACAACTGACCTGTAGAGAGACGTCTTTTAACTTGCATCAAATGTCCTTTTAAGGAAGAAGACGCTTTGTGTGCTGGCTATATAGTACAGTTGTAGGTAGCTCAAAGGTCTAGTTCGTTAAAACTTCTCTCCATTTTTGTAGAAAAACTGCCGCATCCTACTCACCTCCCCCAAAAATCGTAGCAATTTTCGGACAAACCAAATAGCTTGTGATTAATTTATTTGCTACATATTTTTTTTAGGACTTCACTACATCCGACTGCGAAGTCCAACAGGTGTTGAGATTCCCCACAGTGGTCTGTTTGTCCGTATAAAGCTTCAAGAATTTGAGCCATCCTCTTGTATTGTAAAGGGAACCTCACGAGAGAGACTCCTTACATTTTAGATTTACCTCAAATCTGTTAATTCTTTCACTCCCCAGATCTCTTGGATAATTCTCCTTACTGTCTGCCAAACAATTCTTATGATCTTAGTTCGGAGAATTTGGTATTGTATCAATTATTGATCTCCTTATTGATGTTATTCTCTATTCTCGTTATTTGTTTGCTTGACATTGTATTGATATTGTAAGGAGAAATTCTATCTTGGTCACTGATGGGAGTTAAGGGATTAACGTATACTGCTATGTCAAATTTTGCTATTTAGTTTCGTTTTTATTGTAATCTATATTAGATACCGTTCTGATCTGGACTGATAATTCTAGAAGAAAGATATTTATTTATTTTTAATTTTTCAATTTCTCATGGGGAATCGTTTGGAAAATGAACTAAATGAAAGGATAATGTCAGATCAAACTTAGGTTCTTTTTTTGAGTTTGTGCGTCGGAGGAAGTTTTGTTTTTGCTTGTTTCTTTTATTATGTTGTGTTTCTTGGCATGTTTGTTTTGCTAGAGTTTTTTTACTCTGTAAAGCGCCCGACCACTCTGTATTCCTTATTCATGCCACTTGACAGTTCTTATCGTAGAGCGCGCGATGTTCTCAAAAGATTGACCTCGTTTATTATCGAAAGTTAAGATTAAATGTTCAACTAAACGAGATTTCTTTGCTAAATAGAATTTTTCCCTAGGTACTCGTCAGCCGAAAGTGAGCAATGTGACAACCACACGAGTAAGGTCTTTTGTGACTGTAAAATCCTTGAACATAGTGATTTTAAAGTGAGTGTCGTAAACCACTACCAAAGTTATCACAACAACCAATCAGAACAAAGAAATAAGCAAAAGGAGTCAATCAAATTTCAAAGTTTAACTAGCAAACTGCCAGAAGCGCGGGAAAACGCGGGTAACCAAAACCTGGGCAATCAAAGATGCGAATCTCAGGTTCGCCGTTTAATTGAAAATTACTTTTAATTACTTTTAGTCAAGAAACAGCAAAAATTTAGATTTAGCCTAATTCTAGCCAGTTCACAAAATGGGATAAACCATCCTCAATGTACTGAAATTAAAATTGGAGCTGTATCATGGTAGAGAAATAGTATGAACACTATTGATGATTGTTGAACATGACACAATAGCTAGATCATGCTTTTACAGGGAGGGAAATAAGATATTTAATTGTCTAAATTAACTTGATCGAGAACACAGTAATTACTTGTACATATTATTTTATTTAGTTTTCACGTATTTATTGGCGTTTTCATTCATCTACGATTTTAATGTACTATTGAATCATACTTCTCAAAGTCTTGAGAAAATAATATTTTGGAACGCGAATCTTATTTTTTATGATAGGATGTGAAGATTGTACAAATGACTCTGTTTTAAACAATCAGAATTACACTTATATTTTGTAATATATTATGTTGTAGAAATAAAACGTCTTTCACCTTTGATTATTCGGTTCGTGAAGCTGTCAGAATGAAGCTTAGTCTCGATACGGACAGAACACAGCACATTAAAAACAGAAGTCATATTTCAATATTTCCTGCCCCTTAAACGTCTTCTTTCTCTCCTGATGTGTATTTTTAGACTGCTAATGATGAAGTTTATATCTTTTATTTGAAGTTTTATCAACTTGGGTCCTACCGTGTATATGTGACAACCGCTTGGCCTTGAAAGGTCTGGGTACGAGACTAATTGTAATTCATCAGAAGGTAGCCTGTTCCAGGTGTCCAGTTAGTAAAATACAGCGAAATAGTTAACGGCGTGATAACTCGCGCTTCGTTTTATTACCTGCACGTGTGGAACAGGCTACTGTAGGTTTGTCGCCGATTGACCCTCGAGGCCAAGTTATACAACCGGCGAATGACGGTATCCTGCGGCTAGGTAACAAGTCGTTCTGCGCTATCCTCTGGAAGGGGACTTTTTTAGCGGATGCTGCAATCCATTCTTGGGACCAGCAAAGCCTGGTCCTTAAGTGAGGCGAGATGAACCCTAGCGAAAGTCGCAAGTGGTTCAGACCATCACACAGGGAACAATAACGCGAAGATTCGATATTCTATTGGATAGGACTTGATGAAAGTCTAGGTGGCAAAGTTAAATGAAATGACACTACTTTTAACGGTTACGGACACCGTTAAGGCATTGTGCTAAAAAACAAAATAGTAGAAAAGGGCGAACTTGAAACAGCTGAGGACAATTGTCTCGAATTTGTGCCCTGTTCGTTCTCCTCACTGCTGGAGAAAACAAAGGGGGCTACTTTATAATAGGTAAAATAATTTTGCAAAACGTTTGACCGTTTTTGAAACACAAGTAATAGAAAGAGAGACCTTCAATTATGCGAGGGACATATGGTAGGTAGTTGATTGAGCAAAATTCGCAAAGTTTGGTCGTTTCGTCTCACTATTTTTTGCACTCGTTCAAACATACCATCATGTACTTGCCGGACAAAACGCACGACATTTTTTCTTTTGGTGCTTCTTAAACTGAACGTTAAGGAGCGAGAGAGACCTTTTAATGTTTGCGATGTATACCACGAATCTACAGCCGTGGATGTCCCGCATAAAGCACAGCAAACATGCATAAATACGTTTATCCTAATACGATCCTTTAAACACGCGGGCTTCCACCAGAATACACCGCAGAGCTGAAAAGAGCTAAAACTTCTTTAACAATTGGTAAAAAACTTTTCTTGTAGGCAAATAGGATGTGAACACCAGCGAATAAATATAGCGAAATGCATTGCATCAACTCAAGTTATCTTGTGTTCCATTACACCCCCTTCCAACAGCTAGCTGACTTGTTCACGCGTTTTGAAAAAAAAGATTTATATTCCTTTTATACAAGGACAACGTTACTGATCGAATATCGACTTAACTGAGTCAAACAGCTGCACAAAGCGAAAGCATTTGATGTTTTTAAAACACAGCTATTATGCCCCGTCAATTTTATTCCAATCAAAGCTGTGGTAAGATTAGAGTGGAGCTGAGGCATTGCATTAGATGGGATTTAACGATTTCTTGGAGAAAATTGGAACTACTGAAATTTTAATCTTTCACTAAAGGAACCATTCCAAACAAACAAACTTTCCGGAGCACAAAAAAAAAAAAAACGGAAAAAACATAGTCGATCATGTTCATACTTCTCCAAAATACTGACCACCTGTCCTAATACTTCAAGGCTTTAAAAAGACACCAAAACCTGGGTAACAATTTGACGTGTATGTTGTGGCTTGAAATGAAACTTGCAAATATTTTTAACCAGTTTAATATGTATTCACCTTTGTTCCAGAAGAATTTCCATCATTATTAAACGAAGAAAGATAAACATCAACCTTGTTTAGAATAACTTCAACTTGAGGTTCTTTTCAACTGCCACAAGTACAAGATCTATTCCTTTTAACCCTTTACTCCCTAACATCAGTATACATATTCTCCATAGTGTTCTCTGAACATTTCCTAAGGTGCTGACAAGGAGAATTTGTCTAACAATCAAGAGCTTCTTTAGTTGGTGATCATTTCCTTTATTCTTGTGACCTTCATGTTTGAATCAAGGGTGATATGGTAAGGAGAAATTAGATGCCAGTCACTCTTAGGGGTTAAAGGGTTAATTGTTATCTTGGTGTTTGGTTAAGGTTAAAGATGACACTGATGTTTGCTAACTGAGGATTTTCACTTTGAAGGTTAGTTATCCATGATCTCAGCAGATCTTCACTGGCATTAGCATGACTCATGCAGACTGCAACAATTTGACCTAAAAGAAAAAAAACAATACAGTCAACCCATTTCATTACTATGACAAAATCCATACATTACTCAACAAACAGGTAAGGGTAATACTCAAACATATCAGATTAAAGTTGTTATCTTGATTTAACACCAAATTTTCCTAAATAATTTACAAGGAAATGTTGAACAACTGGAGAGAAGAATTTTAAAACAATAGGATCTTGGGGGTCAGAGGATCAAGTATAACAAGTAGATTAGTAAGAAATTCCCAAGCTATGATTATTTTAGTCTATTACTCATCAGAGTATAAAGTCCCAATTTTGGTGACAACCTCTTCCAAGCAGGAAAGCAAACAATTCCCCAAAATACCAAATTTTGCTTCAAATCCAGCAGCAATCTTTTGTCGCATTCTTTTTTAAAACTTGTTTCCTCCAGTGAGTGACAAACCAACACTATCCTTCAATTGAAGCTGAGCTCTACAAGGAAAATACATATTGACAAAAAGAAAACAAATTGCTGATTCATTACTCCTGACCCACCTTCCCCATTCTCCTCATCAAACTCAGCATCAGTTCTCAGTGTGAAGAAGTATCTTTGAAGGCGACGAACCCAAATGAAGAAAGGTCCTTCTACATACATTGGTTTGTGTGAGTTGTAACCTTCTAAAATGTTCTTCTGCTGCTCAGTCTGAGCACCAACCAAGAACTCTTGGCCTTCACCATCAGCATTATCCTGGAAATAATCAGGGACAGTAACTAACACACAAATAATATTTTTGCTTGCTAATGCATAACTTCTCTTGGTTCTCATTGTCTATTGTTTTTCTCCTATATGTACAATAAAAGCACCATCCCAATAGAAATATAAGCTTATCTTTCTTTACATGCCTGTTTTTCCCCTGTCTCTTATAAATGGGGCAATGTGAGATAATTTATGGATTTTAGTCTGACTGTATGAAACAAAAGATTATGGTTATTTTGAAGAAGAGCTCCAAGAGAAACCTTGTTGGCTGACTGTTGGTTGACAGATAACCAACAAGTCATAGTTTATTGTGGATTCTTGTGTGCTGAGGTTGCATCATCTATTGAAACAACAAATTGCTGATCCTGTGTCAGACCCTACTGCCACGATTTTATTATTTTATGACCTCAATTAATTTGAGGCAAGAACACTTTGAAGATAACATTGCTATCCATGAGAGGGATGATGACAGCAAAGTCTAAAGGAATTGAGGCAAGCTAGGTTATAAGTTACAATTCATGCCTGTGTCATCAATAGGAATATTTTGCCAGTTGGACACCTAGCACTCTCATAGAGGATACCATTAAATTCATTCCTATATGTTGCCTTTGACCAATCCTATAAGGAAACTGAACAATATTTTCCTGATGTTTTCTGCAGGAATTGTATATCAAATGAATTAATTAATGGTGGGGGTGGAGGAAAACAGGGCACTGTCTTGGAGTCAGGGGAATTTTTTCAAAGTTACTATGCAAATACCATATATTGACTGATTTTGCCAAATGCTGTGGGTTTATATTGAATCTTAATTTTAAAACCTCTTGATGTGGTTACCTTGTAGATGGTGATAATCTGCTCATCTTTAGTCATTCTGACCAGAGCAAGCTTGCTCAACTCTGCATCACTTTCAGGTAGAGCTTTTGGGTAAGGATTAGGAAACATTTCCTCCATTTTACGATACCAATACACCAGCCGCTTACACTTTTGCAAAGGTTGACTTGCATGGCCAAAAATTTCATGTACAATATCGTAAGTGGTTTCATCAGGTGAGATCCAGTTGTCTTCCATAAGCGTCAAGATGTCTAATGCCAGCTCAGCTTGAGGATGCTTCTTTGCCCAGATAGCATCAAATAGAGTTCTGTTGTCAAATCTACCCCTGGGAAACACGTCTAGCATTCTGTTGTATACTTCAACGTCCTTCCCTAGATCAAATTCCTCCACGTAATTCATAGCTGTCTTGAGAAATTCCATATGCCCCCTCCTGGTCCGGTTTCTGGCGAGAAAATTATCGATCACTCCCACAAAGTTCTCTTTAGTTTTCCCTAAGGAGGCCGCTTTCTCAAATGAAACGACGTGTTTAGACATAGATAATGGAGAAACTTTGACCTTGCTAGGTGTTAAATTCACATGTACAAGTTTACTGCTCTCTGCATCTTCTGCTCTAATTTTGGCCAGCCTCTCATCGTAATCCTTTTCCTCATATAGCTCCTTGTCTGAATTGCTGCTTAAAACTCTAGAGCAGCTAATTTGTCTTCTTGGCAAGCACTTCATAGACTGCGGCGTTGATAGCTTGCGCATGGAATTCGAAGCAACGAAAACGTATTCTGGATGGTTGCTTAGTCTCCTCGCGATCGTTGCCAACATACAAAAGCGGTGCATCTTTCTTGGAAGGTGAATCTCTCTGTGGCAGTGATTATGCTATGACTTTAGGAAAATCAGACAGAACTATACCAAAAAGGCTTAAGTTCAACGAAGCCTTCCCTCGTCCGCCATATTGAATCTTTGTGATAAAAATATTTTGTCAGGGAGAGGGTAGGTAAAATGAATAGATGAGCTTAACCATCTAGCTATCCCTCCCTAAATTTTCTACAGGCCCTTCTCCGGTGCACAGTCCACCCCGAACATTGCTCTACTAGTACCACGTGGTTTCCCACCATCGCTCTCTTTTCTTCCTGCCCTCGTTGGCTTTTGCAAGAGTAAGCAATGTTCCTTCGTTTTCTCCCCATATTTCTGTATACTAGAGCCCTCTTGTACTGTTATTTTCACATAGTCATATTCTAACGAGTTATGTCCTTGTTCATTTTAATATCATTTGCATGAAAGCTGTAAGGTGTGAAAGAAATGTCCTATCAAAATTCTTATTTGGAGACAAAGTATTACTGCTATGATCAATCTTTTGCTTTCAAAGACTTCGTACTCACTTTATGGCATTTAAATAAATAGACAAGGTATCATCACACATACACAGTGGTTATGATTTAGATCGGGGGGTGACTAGATAGAGCCGCAAGAATATTGTGTTGGAAAAATAAAACACTTTCCATTCGTTAGAACTAAATAGTAGTACGGTAAAAAGTTTGAGTGTGGTTTTTCTAGAACTAAATAGTAGTACGGTAAAAAGTTTGAGTGTGGTTTCTCTAAATTAAACCACTCAACCGTTAGTGATCTTGCTCTGTAAAGTTGAAAAAGCCATCTTACAATTGTAACTTTGGCTTCAAGCCAGCAAGACAGTTGGCCTTGAGGAACAGTAGTGGTCTCTGTTCAAATGATTATAGGAGAGTGGTATTGATAATAGTATGTGTACTAAACAATGCTATGGCAGGGAAATTAGGAGAGGATGAGAGATAATAGACTGACAGAAGCAAATAAAGCTGTTCTGACCCCTTATCTTTATCTGACCATGACAAATGAGTTAACTTAGAAGTTACAACTTCATGCAATCTTAGCCTGCATATAGTATAATACTATGATTTTGGCCAATACTTTATCAAAAACAGTGCACCTCTCAATTGAATTTGGATGTTGGTGAGAATTAAACATGATGGGCAGTTGACAAGTGGTAGCTATTTACAATTGGTGAAGTTTGTTGGTGAGTTTTTAAGACCAACAATTTTCCTTGTAGTCAATAGGTTGTTCCGTCGTCACTTTTTTTTGGCACAGCAAAGCATAATGTCTGGGGGCATTGAAGCTCTACAATTAAAGGAAGAAGATGTTGTGAAGTTACTTGCTGCTGGTGTTCATCTTGGTGCCAGCAATGTAGACTTTCAAATGGAAAGTTATGTTTACAAACGAAAACCTGATGGTAATTTGCAGGGAAGGTTTAAACTTTCCTATGGTTGTTGTCCTTCTCTACTTTTATGTTGAAGTGAAAAATGGTTTAGGAATAGCACAGTCAGGAGAGTATCAGCAATTCAAGCCAAGATGAAATAAATTTTTGGGGAAGCTTCCTTTACCTCTACCCACGTGGGTTGTTTTTCCTGTGTTCAATTTGGTTAAAAGCTTTTGTCAGAAAAATAAGTTTAGTTTAAGAAAGTGTTTTCATTATGTTATTCATTATTAAGTACTGGGTTACTGATTACACAGAGACATAATTGCAAGCAGCACTCAGTATTATAAACTGCAAGTATATTTTAAGCCACATTAAAGTTGCTCCATCTTTTCAAAATAATTATTTTCTCTATTTGTCTTTTCACCAGGTGTTCACATCATCAACATTAAAAAGACATGGGAGAAGCTGCTTCTTGCTGCCCGTATCATTGTTGGCATTGAACATCCTTCTGATGTCTGTGTGATCTCAGCCAGACCTTATGGACAGGTAGGTGTAATTACCAGTTATCACTGGGAATGTCCAACTCACTCCAATTGACCAGTGTTTAATACAAAGGGGTCTCTGGCATAAAGACTGACATGTTGAGCTGCCTAATATCAGATGACTTACTTGTAACCTTGCTCAATTTGAGTTTTCATTTCCCATGATATGTTTGGAAGGTTTAAAGAGCTCACAATAGGAGTGGATTAGCTGACAATGTTCAGTTGACTACTTGTAAAGAAGAATTCGATTCTGATCAAAGTTTAGGTTTTAAATATGGCTGTTTCACTTTTCCTGCATTGAACTTAAGCCCGGCAAGTGTACTTGTTTATTTGTGCAGCTGAAAATGGGTTGTGTCCAAGCAAAAATGGGTTTGATGAGTCAATTTGACAGGCACCAGCTGGGAAATTTTTTTAAGCCTTGGGCTTAATGTAGTTGTGGTGAAGTGAACCTTAAGACCACAATCTGAGACCCACTTCTGATGAGACGTTGCAGTATTATGATTGCTACATAAAGCTGTGAAAACTTAACGAGTGATGTTATCTTATAGCGTGCCATCCTGAAGTTTGCCAATCACACTGGGGCCACAGCTATCGCTGGCCGCTTCACTCCTGGTACATTCACCAATCAAATTCAAGCAGCCTTCAGAGAACCACGTTTGCTTGTTGTATGTGATCCACGCACTGATAGCCAGGTAATGTTTTGACTATATCTGAAAAATCTCCAAGGAATTACTTTGCTTTTCCTTCTCAACCACATATAAACTTTATTTTCGTGCCAACTCTGGCTGTAATCCTCACATTGCAGAATACTGTTTTTTCCTCAGGGAATGGTAACTATTTAATTGGATGAACTATTCAAAACTATAAAAGTTGGGGAAAACATTTATTGTCCTGTAAAGCTTCATTTCAACTGTTTGAAGTGGAACTTAAAACCATAAAGACTACTCCTCAAACTGAACATGAACTTCTTTCATAGCCCGTGACAGAGTCATCCTACGTAAACATTCCTGTTATTGCATTCTGCAACACTGACTCTCCATTGCACCATGTGGATGTGGCAATCCCTTGCAACAACAAAGGTGCGCATGCTGTGGGTCTTATGTGGTGGTTGTTGGCAAGGGAAGTGCTCCGTATGCGTGGTAGCATCAGCAGGCAAATCAATTGGGAAATCATGCCTGATCTTTACTTTTATAGGGATCCAGAAGAGGTAAAACATTTTTTTTCCATTAAGAGTGAAAATTAACCCCTAAACTCAAAAAATCTGATCACATTACCTCATAAATTAGTTACAAGAATTTGGTGGTAGAGCAAGATAGCAACTTCTGCCTGATAAGTTTGAGTATTTTAGGAAGAAGTTATATGTTTATCACTTCTGGGAGTTGACTGTTTTCTCTTATATTTCTTAAATTTTAATTATCAATTTTAATGATGGTATCTATTTGCCTTACCTAACAGAATACTTTTAATTTTTGTATTATTTTGAAATTAAAGTGGTTGTCTCAAAAATCTCACTGGGATTAGCAGATTAAATCTGATAGGAAACACTAAGTTAATTCTGGTAGTTGTGGTCAATTTATGTCATGAGGCAAATGTCCCATTGAGGTCTCAAATCTGATCCTGAACTTGTGAAATTCTTTCCAAATTATGGTCTGTATATAGGGAATAATGATGATTATTAGGCCTTCTTGCTATTGTTGTGATACCTTAATACTGGGTGTACAAGTGAAGATACTGCTCAATGAAGACCAAAATGTAGCCCCTTGCTTTGAGGGGTTAGAGGATCAAGGTTTGTTTTGCGAAATAACACATCTGGAGTACCACATAGACTTGTGAAATAATTTGTTTGTATTTATTCTAGGCTGAAAAGGAAGAACAAGCTGCCATGCAACATGCAGAAGAGCAGCCTGCTGCTGCTCCTCAGTTTCCAAGTGAATGGGGTGGAACTGCTGATCAGCAAACTGGAGAGGTGAGTGCTTCCACTGTCCCCAACCAGAGAGGCCATTGTAATATGTAGGAAAGTTTACTTTAGACTTGATATTCTATATCATTCCTTATCATGGCAGTTATTGTGCAGAGGTTTTGTATCCTTCCAAATTTCTATTTGTCAGTGTAAAGTTTTTTGTGGAGATAAAGAAGGTTTGAATGCTTCTTTGTTTTGCTTCTTTCAAGATTTCTCTCTTTTTGGGAATATTGCCAGAACCTGGTATTTGGCTAGCTTAAAAGGGAATAGAAACTCTTCCTGATTCCCTTTTCTTGCCATTTTGGCCCTTTCTTGAGGGTGAAAATAAATGTAATTGCGAGAAATCTTAACTAAAAAAAAAATTTATTGATTTTTGTTTTTCCAGTGGGGAGCTGAACAAATGGGCACTTCTGCTTTACCTGCCTCCATTGGAGCTACTGAGGAATGGGGTACCAGCCGTGAATGGACTGACACTACCCCTGCTCCATCCAAGGACTGGGCCGAAGCCAAAGATTGGTCGGCTGAACCAGCACCAAAAGAATGGGGAGCAGATGATCTGCAGCCAAGCAGTGATTGGGGTACCTCTGTCACCATGCAGGATGCAAAGAGTGGTGGAGCAGAGTGGGCTTAAACTGAAGCTGGATGAACACCCACTTACTTATTGGAAACTCTGTCTGAAAGAAACTTAATAAAATCTCCTGAAATGTCCTAATTGCCTTCTATTGATTTTAATCATATTTGATTAACTTTTATTTTACTGTTTGAAAAAAAATGCTGATCAAAACACAAGGGACAAGATAAAGTTTTTTCAAATATGTCCATCAATCCTGGTTTGAAAGGCTGTTGATTTCATGAACACAAAGTGCACATTTTTATTCTAATAACTTAATGGAAAGTTTTGGTGACTACATTTCAAATTTCAGATATTATTTTTTAGTTTTTGTGCACAGAAAGAAAAAACTCTAGGCTTTGAAATCAACCATATATTTACATATATGTAACAGAGCTACCCTACAGAGACTGAGGCCAAGGAGAGTCCTTAATGCAACACAGTGGAGCAAGCTGTACCCTACCTTAGCCACATTAGTGTCATTAGCCAACTTTGATATCACCCTAATGTTTGTTCTTATTTGTGGTTTGAATCCTCCTGCAACCACAGGATCTTAGGACACACCTCCTCCAACAACAGATCTGATTAGCAAGGCAGACATGGTCCACCTGGAATGTATCAGAAATTATATTTATGCTCGTGCAGAGAGGGATTCTTTGTCTTTTTCAGTTTTCCTCTCACTGGCATGCAACACTCACTCTGGTAAGATCAGGAGGAAAGAGTTATGAAGTTGCAATCAATAACCTTGAAACTGAGTCTATAGATCCTGAGTTGGAGGCACATTACGAAAAGATTCTTGAAGAATGGAAGAAAGATGAAGACTACAGAAAAGGCATGCTGGATAAAATTATAAGGGAAGAAGGAAATGTTGGCAAGAAAGTTGATGACTTAGCAGCTGTCCCAAACAAGGGTTGGTGATTTCTTGTTTGATCAAGGATTATTAAAATACAAACCTTTTTA